ACCCCCCCCCCCCCCCCCCCCAAAAAAAACCCCCCCCCCCACCGCCCCCCTGATTGGGGGGGTTTGGGGGGGGGGGGGGCGAGAGTGGCGAGAGTAGGTTCATAAATGTGCCAATGCCGAGTGCGAGTCTTTCAAACGGAGGGAAAATGAAGGGTTATAAGCCTATCGCCTGGGAGCTGTGAGACAAAGAAAAACGCAAGAAAAAATATCAGGCGGATGAGTGGATTTTGTCACGAAGAAAGCAGGCGGGGTTTCGACACCCAAAAAGCCTTGCCGCAGAAAAGCCGCAGAGAACGCTTTCTTTTGTTCAGTGGAAATGAATCTCAGATTAGCGAATATGTACCACGTGAGTACACGCACACCGAGCTATGCGATGTCTTACCAGCGGGCCGCCAACGCAAACACTATAAGAAACAAGGTTGACATGAAACTCCTATTTACCTGCATAAGACTTCTGTTCGGTTTTCAGCCCCCCCCCCGTGAGTTGTCCCCATTTCTTTCGTGCCTCAACTTAACAAACGAGTGGAGAAAACTAAGAGCAGACAGCGAAAAAATAGCAGCAGCGCTTTTTCCCGCTTGCAGGAAAAGAACAACTCAACAAACGAGCGGAGAAAAACTTAAAGAGCGGAGAACAAACAAAAGCAGCAGCGCTTGTCCCCGCGCGCAGTAAAAGAAATACACGAAAAAACAAAAAAAAATCCTCTCCGACCCCAACCAAACCCTTACGGTTTACCTCGTGATTTTTTCATTCAATTTCCACGTCGGTGTCGAAAAATATATATATATCCGTGAGACAACAGCAGTATGCATAGGGCGAGAAGGGAGCAAGGCACCCAGGGGGTTTCGACCACCTTGGAACGGCTTACCGTTGGCGGGGTCGTAGTCTCCGGGAAAATCCCAGATCTGGAACTGTACGTAGTCGTTGTTGGCCACGTACTTAATGTCCAGGCTTTGAGTGTTGCCCTGAGACCCAAGTATATATGACACGCGGTTGTACGGGGGGAGGGGTGGTGATCAGGACTTCGTGGCAACCCCTATGGAGGGTCCTGGGTTGTGCCCCGCGAGTGCACACACCGCTGGTGCAACAATCAATCGGACAAAAACCGCGGGGCTTATTTGAAACATGATGGGGCTTATCTTGGCGTGTCGGTCCGAAAAGAACCTGTGTCGCAAGGCCCAACCTACGGCCAATGCCCAATGATCCTCGTGCATAACCCCGCGAGAGGGTGCATGTTTCTGTACCAACAATAAAAAGTGAGGATAGAGGCCGGTCGGGTAGCCCCGACGCGAAGAGAAGGCGTGGCTCTATGCAATTTTGACAGGACAAAAGCTTGTTGCGACAAGTACACGCTACAAGCGACTGCCGTGAGTGGTGCTGTTTGCGCGGAGCACGATCGCACTTGGGGCCAATGCAGGAAGAGGGACGGAATCTCAACCGAAGCTCTGAAGCAACAACATTGCACCCGCGAGCAACCACGAGTAGTACGGTATCGCTGCTCACGCCGGACTATCGAACCACCAGCACTTGTGATACTCACGAGGAACATGGTCTCGTGGGCAGACATCTTCTGGAACACCACTCGCTGGATCGAAGATTTGCCGGATCTGTGCCATGAGCCAGAAACAGACACAACGGCAGACGAAGAGAGGCAGGGTTGTACGCACACGTTCGAGAAAAAAACGTAAAACGTTCGAGGCGGGGTGGGGGATCTCAATCAAGTCTGTGATTCAAGCGGTAACCGAAGCCACATTTCTACGTGCGGTACCCCGCTGCAGGCAACGAGTTACGAGAAGATTTCCGCGCCGTTGTACCGCACACAACTGCCGCAGCTACCGTCCCATGCGGCAGCCTATTCCTTCAGGCGGTACAAGAGGAAGCCATCAGCGGCCATCACACAAACAGCGACAGAGAACGAGACAACCACTGCTCTTCGTTCTCCATATCACGATACCACAAGAATAACTCTCGCGCCTGTTACCACGAGAACTGCTGTCTCTACTCCGGCTCCTTCGACACAACAGGCGGGCTTGCCTTTCGTAAAACACCTCGAGTCACAGCGACACCTTCGCGATCGATCCAGTCCGCAGGTATACCCTACAATATAATTCTCGCTCCTTCGCCACCCAATCAAAACCACTTTTCCACGAAATAGGGCCACATTTACGCACGGCAACGATAGAGTTCGATTTTGTCTTGGCTTGCCGAGCAACGCGCGGTGAGCTTGCTTCATGCCTGATGCCGAACGGGACATCTCTTGCATGCATAGGCACTCGAGCACTTACCTCTTGGGGCCCATGAGCAGAATCTTCGGCTTGGCGTCCGCCCCGTGCGTCTCCCCGGGAGGCGCCTCCTCTACCTCTTGCTCTTCCTCCGCTGATACATGCGTGCGGTGCACGTTAAGGCGTCAAGGCCGACAGCTTCAGTCAGAATCGGACGCTGTTGGACTCTTCCAGCTCTATCCATGGGCGACGTAAGGGAGGCACAACAGCAGTAGATACAGTCTACCTTTTTTTTCGTAGTAGTCAACCGTCATCCAAGGATCTTGCGTCATCTGTGGAAACAAACATTTCACCGCAAGGTTTGATTGACCAATCAGAGAACTACGTGCCGCTTTCTTCCTTTTCTCTCTCTGTACCGCACACAGCAGTGGCAACACGGTGCCGACACCGGAGTGAGTTTTCGTCACTTGATCGGTCAAGCCTTGGGGACAAGTGACGCCAAGACGAAGGCAGCGCCGGCTGCCCCAAAGTTTGCGGGAGAGGCACTACAGGCCGAAAATCTTTGCACGCTCTTCTGCTGCCCTCGATCATCAGGTTTTGCACCGCCGCGAGCAAAGACACGAACACGTTGCCGCGCGCGAGATGGAACCCCGGCGTATTCGGGCTGCCTGCGGTGTACACCAGATCGAAAACTCTTAAGCCTTGTTCAAGCGTTTGCCTTTGTCGAGTAACGCAGGGACCGGAGAGCCATATGCCCCCAGGTGAGCCCCCATGCGAGGATGTAAGGGGGGACGCCGAGCTAACAAGACCTCATAGAGAGGGTAGAAGGGAAGATACGCATCAGTTAGGGACTACAGAGGCCCTCCAGATGGGACAATAAGGAGATGGCATCATCAAGTCCCATGTTCTACGATCCAAGCCTCCAGCAGAGTCCGGTTAACACAGCAGGGGCGATGTCGGCGTAAGTGCCGAACTAACAACAGATGTTGGCATCCAGGACTGGTCTCAGGAACGCTCCTCGAATTCTAAAGCAAAGGTTTCTCTCTACATCTTAACGCAGCACCAAAAATCGAAATAAAAATTGAGCTCTGTTTGGTCGGCATGCTCGCATACCTCCCGGCGACGTTCTTTGATATTTAGCCAATTCCTGCCTGGGAAAGAAGTCCCCGAGGTATCTAGATTTCAGATCAAAATCAAAGTCATCAAGACAGCTGCGGAGCTGCGGGGAGAGAGCGGGTGGGTTGTTCCAACGTCTGCCGCGGGGCCTTTGCAAAGCAGTGCACCACACGACCTGCTGTACGCTGCTCATAGAGAGGCTATCGGCACCGTACCACCGAGACACATGGTTAGCCAGAGCACTCTGCTCACTGGCAAGCCTAAACAAAACCGGGCTGGCTCGTTAGGTTCTCGATGAGAAAATGCCGATCGTCACAAGTGGCCAAGAGACTGATGAAGATAGGATAGCTGTCGCTACAACGAGCGACAGCTGATAGATGTAACTGTCGTCAGACGTGTGCGTCCACGGGCGGAAACAGAGCGCAAACACCACACACTTGTATACTACACCTACCTGCTGTGCGCTGGTGAGAGAGCTGTTGCGTGGTAACGAATGCGAGATTTTCACCTGCTGGTTACCTACCCCCCCCCCCCCCCCCCTCCACATCTAAATTCCAGGAACAAACCCCCCCCCCGAAACAGGTTGTGAACCCCCCGTTCTCCTTTTTTTTTTTGTGCTTCACGTGAAAAAATTGGCC